TGACATTATAAAAATTTCATTATCAAAAATCAAATGTAAAATAAAATGGTATTTCCTTTTTATCCGTACCCAATTCAGCAAATTTAGCAATTTAAATTAAATCAGCGTGATCAAAAAATTTTATAATGAAAAAAGTTAACAGTTCATTAAATATCTCTAATTAATACTGTCAGTTTATGAAAGTAATTGTTAACAAATACTTTTTTTCGATGGAAAAACAAAAAATTGTCATAGCGTAAAAATAACCAGAGAAGTTAGAAAATAGTTCCCATTGTTCAAATAAAAATAATTAAGAATCGGAATATATAATACTGCGCTCTCTTGCGCTAAAACGTTCTATATAATGTAAAATACTCGTATGAAAATCATGAGATTGGTAAGTAAAGCTTTAATATTTGTTTTAATTTAAATAATTAAAGAAATATAAGTAAGATATATAAATCTAAAAATTATTAAGATATCTGTAAAAAATAAGTTGCTCCTATAAAATAAAGATAATTTATTTAATGGTTATAAAATATTGAACAGTAAACTTATAATCAAAATTTATAGTGCCGACTTGTGTTGCAATTAATTAATTGCAATTGTGTTTTTACTTTTTACAAAATTTTTTTTTGCGATGTTTGGAAAAATAATACAAATAAATTTGTTTTGCTGTATGTTAAAAAAATACTACAGTAGAAAAACGCAGCTTAGTTTAATTTTTCTTTTCTAATTTTAATAATTACACTTTTCTTTTGTTAAAAGTCTACCGTGACGTCAAATACTAAAACTTTTATGAATTAAACGCGCTTCAAAGGAATTGCCAAAGTCTGTAGATTGCGACGCATAATTTGAAGACTCCGATTAGTTCAAAAAAATGGAGTAGACGAGCTTCGGCAAAAACAACAACATTTGTTTTTCACGGTATGCATTCATTATTTATTTTTAATCAAAAAAATTTGGTTCAAACCTTTTTTTTTAACATTATCTTTAATATGAACACAACATGTGTTGGGAGTTTGGGATCCCTTTAAAGAATCAATTGCTGCTCTGGTAACTGTGTGCTCCCTTAAAAAGAGCTATTTATTCCTTGCACAAACCTTGCACCATAATTTATTACCTAATTCGTTTTCCTCCGTGGATCCTATAATATTTTTTTCCCCCAAAAAAGAAAAGTTTTTAAGTTTTTAGGTATACAGTCTTTCACAGGAAGACATGTTATCGCACGTCTTTATATGACCACGGATGTAATACTTTTATTTTTTTGATGTCCACAGCTTTTAAAATAGTGTGATAATTTTCGCGTGTTTTCAAAATGAGGCTTATAAAAGCAAAATTAAATGAAACAAAAATGAAAACAAAAACCATAAACTGAAAAATGAAAATAAATCTTAACCTAAGTGAAAACAAACAAAAGTAAAAATTAAGCTATAAACCATTTTATATTTTTTAAATTTAAAAGTTTTTTGCTTGATAGACTTGCGTAAATATCACGGCTTTGAAGTTAATTATTCCAAACTTATTTATGAACAAAATTTTAATAATTTTATTGCAGTAAGTTACAGCAGGAATAAATAGGCTGATGTGGGGTTTATAGCACACCATTTTATATAAAAATTTAATGCCATTTGATATAAACTACTTGTTAAACTGTTTTTGTTTTCTTATTTTTAGGATGCCTGTTATTTTTATCAACAAAATTTAATACAAGTGAGGGAACAAAACAGATTATATGTCTAAATAATTAAACAAAAACAAAAAATCTACAGCATACAATTAATTTTAGAAATATATGTGTCAATATAAAGAAAGAACATTTTATAAATTATTTTAACAAAAATGTAACGTAACAAAAAGCAACATATCAATAAAGAAATCTAAAATATACAACTGCATTCTCTTCATTAGTAGATTAATCACCTTTTTTGCTAAAATCTTCTACTTTTTAATTGGAATCCAAGGATTGATTATCTGATGATTGCATTTCGGTAGATTTTCTATTCTAATTGGACCAATGGTCATTTTCACTATATCCTTCTTCTGAACCCGATAGTTCACTATCTGTTGAACTGTTGTCACTGTCAACTGTTTCAATAGGAGGAGATTCATCAATAATTATTGTTATCTCGCTGAACCTTAACAAGAACCTCAAAATTATTATGCGGCATAGCAGGATGCATAGCCAATTTATAAGTAGTTTGCATTAACTTTAAATAAGCTTTGTTAACATTCTCGTTTATTGAAGATGCATTTGGAGAAGTAGGAGTGTTTAAAGAAGAAGGATAGTTAATCGTGTCACTTATTGACATTTGTTGACACTTATTAGAGGCATTTGTTGACAAGATCACTTATGTGATCTTGTCAACAAATGCCTTTTAACTCTTAACCTAGAGTACATTTTACGGCATAGGTAGTCATTATTTCAGGTTTATGATGTCCTAAATATATAAATTATTTTTAAAACTTTGTTATACCTGATGATGTGCAACAACATTAATTCCATTTGTTAAAGCTTTAG